GAGGCTGACCAATCTTGGTGTACCCCAAAGAGTGGTAGAAGATGGAGCCACAGAGGGAAGTCGGCAGGACTAGATCCCTAGAGAGTGTTTTGAGGGTCAGGCTTAATTACAGGCTTAATTCTGTGTCCAATGGAAAGTCAATAGAAAGTTCGGAGGGCCAGGGATTTAGCTCAGTGTCGCTACGCCTGCCTCACAAGCGTAAGGTCCTGAGTTCGATCCCTGGTACCAGAAAAAAACAAAGTTTGGAGAAGATAGAAAAGTGTTATGATTTCTACTTAAAACATCACCTTGGGTAAGCCAGGTGTGGTGGCACATGCCTGTAATCCCAGCACTCGGAGGCTGAGCGGAAGGATTACTGTGAGTTCGAGGCCAGCCTGGGCTACGTAGTGAATTCAAGGCCAGCCTGCAGTACATATCGAGACCCTGTCTCAAAAAAACAAAACACAAAATAAAACAAAAATCACCTTGATTGATTCAGAGAGCCTAGATCTGGTGGGAAAGTGGTGAGGCAGGGAGATGAGGCAAGTTATCCAGGTAAAATAAGAAAATGGCTTGGACTACTGTTGGTGCTGAGAGAGATAGGCATATAAATATGGAACATCTTCTGGAGTTAAGAGACACTAGGCTTTGCCCACATGTGGTATAAGGATAAAAGAGAGTCAAGGACATTTGACTTGAACACTGGGAAAAGGACAGTACCATGATCTGATGTGAGGAAGATTAAGGATCAGTTTGGTGCTGGTCGGGAGGGTTGCTGAACATGGATGTAGATGCATGAGTGGAAGATGGGAGGAGGGCAGAGGGCTGGGATGTCCTCATGACTCCAGGTTACAGGTTGACAATCCTTGCTAGACTGAAGCCTGTGCTACATTGAGACTCCAAAGACTGAGTATTAAGGCATCTTGGAAACGCTCAATAGTTGGAATATGTTGGCTCCTTCTGGTAACTTTAGGAAGGCCCTGCAAAAAAGAGACAAGCCTAGGCTAAAGATATTAGCCCACTGTTATTATCAAAAGAAAAAGTCCTTACCTCTTGCGGCCGAGTCCCTTCATCCTTTGAACATTTCACCCCTTGAAATGTTATAACTGGCTGATGAAACACAAACACTTAGAAAGCACTGCTAGAGACGCCCTAACAATTTGAGCGAAGTGAAGTATAGACAGTCTCAAAACTCAGAGGACCACAGAGAGAGGCCCCATAAGGCAGTGTCAACAAGCAGAAGAAAGAGGGCTGGAAACCGGAAAGATGGGTATAACCCAAGGAAAAGGAGAAGGAAACCAGAGGGGAAGAGGGGGTGGTCAAGGTCAGCATCCAAGCCAAGATGGAGAGGCCCAGGTATGCAGCGCAAATGACCCTGGGACTTTAGGGAAGCAGCACCTTGTCAGAAATCTCAGAATCTTTGAGTTTCAAAACTGGAAAGACTTTCAGGGACCAGATAGCTGCCTCTTGCCCTAGAAAAAGAGAGCTGATCTTCAAGGAGGAAATGGGAAACAAAAGGAGAATGCAAAAGACCAGGTCGACATGATACAGAAGCCTCAGAAAGTCAGTGAAGAGTTCTGCCCAGGCTGAACTCAAAAAACCCCAGTCCTGTGTTTCCCTTTTCTCCATTTGGTAACTGTCCAGGCCCCATAGAGACTGTTTTGTCCAGCTGCATTCTGAAAACAGATGTAATCAAAGTCTTTCTTGTCTGACATCTGACCTCCTTTTCCATCCCCTTCCCTCCTTCCGACCAGGTCCTCTATCACGTGTTCCCAGGGACACCCACGATGACCAACTGAGGCACATGAGCTGCAGGGCTCATGGCTCAGGCAGAGGGAGAAGAGGGGGATCATTTCCTGAGGAGCAACTAGGGTAGGCATGGGGGGTAGTGATTCAGGAGGGGGGATGGATTGATGCAGCTTCTCCAAGCCAGGCAGGGATCCAAAGAAAGCACAGTGGGAGGCAGGGAGAGGAGGGAGCAGCAGGACACATGCTGACATCTTGGGGAGAGAGCCAGCTTGGCATCTTGTGGCCAGTAGAGCCTGTGTTTACTTACTTGGACCAGATACTCCTCTCATATGCAAAGCAGGGGGAATAATAACTATCTTAAGAGATTGCTGAGAGGGTTAACTTGGAGAGAGAGAGAGAGAGAGAGAGGAGAGGGAAGGAGCGAGAGAGAAGTGAAGGACTGAGGATGTAGCTCAGTGGTAGAGTGCTTGCCTAGCATTCCTGAGGCCCTGGATTGATCCTCACCATGAAGAAAAGAAAATCAAAGTGAAGAAGAGAGAATGAAGTAATTCAGAGCATGGCATCTGGAGCCAGACTGACTTGACCTGATTTTTTAACCTCTCTGGCCTCAGTTTCCTCATCTATAAACAGGGGTGATGGTGTCTATTTTATAGAATGTTATGAAATTTAAGTGAACTCTGATGATGATACTTGCCTTACAGGATCCTATGAGGTTTAAGAGGATTTTGTTTACTAATTACCAGTCATTTATTGAGCTCTCTCATATACCACATAACTGCTTTGTCACTTCATATACTTTATATACTTCATATACTTTTTATACTTCATATACTTTATCACATGAAATCCTCACTGCCACCCAGGAGGTAGGCAGCTACTGGATCATCCCCGTTTTATAAATGTGGAAACTGAGGCTCAGACACAGATTAACTTTTTTATTTTTTTCTAGATCGGGGATTGGTAAACTGTGGTCCATCTGCTAAATCCAGGGAGCAGCCTGTTTTGTTGCTGTTTATGTCTGTTTTCATGCTACAGTGGCGGAGTTGAGCAAAGCTGACTATGTACTTACTCTCTGGCCCATTCCTGGAAAGGCTGACTGTGCTGTGGGAAAAGGCAGAAGCAGAATTTGATCCAGGTCTGCATCCAAAGGACTTAACTCCCTTACTCTGCTGTTGTGTGCAATGTCACTGTGCTAGTGGACACTAGAGGCTGGGAAGGCATTTCAGTTCTTTGTATGTTGGGAAGCCTCCTCTTTGTTCTTCAAAGTGAGGTGTGAAAATGAAAGGAACTTGGGGATTCTACCCCCATATCTCAAGGAAGGAGTGAGGACTCCTGGAGATTTCCAAAGCCTGTCCTAAGCTGTTCCTACTGCCAACAGCACTCTGAGGTGGGAGGGAAAGGGAAAACTCACGTAATGGAGAGGAGGGACCAGGCTTCGTGGAAGGGGGGTGGGGCGGAAGAAGAGAGAGGGGAAGAGAAAAGAAGAAAATGAGGTTGATATGATTGCGAGTAATTGCTAGGTAGGCAGGAAGGAAGGGCCTCTCTGAGACAGGAATGACAAGGACCCAGCCTTGGGAAGACTAGGTGGGAAAGCACTCCAGGCAGAGGGAACAGCAAATGCAAAGGCCCTGAGCAAGAAAATCGTGCATTTTAAAGGACAGAGAGCCCAGTGTGGCTGGACCAGAATGAAGCCTAGATAACTCAGGCTAGTTAACCTAGGTCTAGGGTCACCAGCCACCCTGGTTTTCCTGGTGATATAGGAGAAATATAACTCCCAACCTGCTAGATGTCAGATGTGCCAAGTTCGTGTTCCCTGAAATCAAAGAATGAATTCTGAAGGAGATTAAGAGTAGGAAAGGTTTATTGAGAGATAACTCCTGAGTGACAGAAGAGGTCCTGGGAGTGGGTGACCATGGAGGCCCTTTGTCAGGGGTAATTTATGCATCGAAGTCACAATGTGGGTACAATGTAGGTCCACTATAATCAACATATAGGATTAGAAGTAGAGCTGTTTAGCTAATATTGGCCCAATGGGGAAGCAGATCACACAGGAAGTGTACATGGAAAGTACAAAGGTGTTGTGGGGAAGGAATGGGTCCAGATGGGTCCCTGGCCATTGCATCTTTATCTTGATGCCTGGTCTTCAGATATGCTTCCAGCCACAATTCTGATGTCTTTATTTTTTCTGCTAATTTCCTTGAGAGCCCGGTACTGTAGAATTCCTAGGTAACTTAGCTGCCTATTATACCGAGGCTGAATGGGTTTCCAGACACAGGGTTTTTGGGTTGTTTTTGTTTTGTTTTGTTTTGTTTTTGAGACAGGGTCTCACACTATAGTTAAGCCTAGCCTTGAACTCACTATGCATCCCAGGCTGGTGCAGAACTTGTGGTGATCCTCCTGCCTCAGCCTCCCAAGTGCTGGGATTATAGGCCTGCGCCACCATGCCCAGCCCCCAGAACAGTTTTAAAACCAGGAAGGTCCTGGGCAAATCAGGTTGACTTGTTCATCCTAGCTAGATGAATGCCTAGGGCTAAGTACATGCTCAGTGGACATCATTATTCTTTCCCCTTTTCTCTTTTGTCCATTTGACCACAAAAAGGTAGCTAGCACCTACTCTGTGCTCTTTCGAAAGTGCTTAGAACCTTGCAGGCAGCAGATGGAGCCCCCAGGTTCTTGCAGAGCATCTAGCTCCAAGGCTTCACCCCACAGCTGTGGTCTCCAGGAAAGGGGGGGATTCCAGTCACCTGTGTGGTGTCCTCCTGGGCTGACAGAACTTGGTAGGACATGCTTTCCCAAGTGGGAAATGTCTCTGAGCCCCAAGGTCCCAGGTAGGTAGGGGGACCCAATAACAAAGCCAGGTAAGGAGAGGTGTTGAGGTGACTGGATAAAGGGAAAGCGAAAAAATATGCCTTGGGAATTGATTTCTCCACGTGCCCTGGCTTTCGATAAAGGCCCAGGAGGAAATTCCTTTTATCACGCACGTTTTGCTGGGTGAGGAAACAGGCTCAGTGGCCCAAGTGAAGTGACTAGTCCAGGACCCTACGGGGCAGATGCATAATCGGTGTCTGGCGGGGCTAGGCATGCTGGCGCATGGGCTTCCTTCCCTTTCTCAGGGCTTGAGTCCCCCGCTTGTCTAAACAGCAGCCCGGCTTGTCACGGGGTTCTTTCTGTACAGCTCTCCCCACCCTCCTGGCTCCCAGCGTTCCGCCCGTCCCCTCCCAGCCCCGGGGTAGGAGGGGAGAGAGGGAACGGGGGGGGGGGGGTCAAGGAGGCCCTGCTTTATAAAGGCTGCGGGAAGAGCGCTGCCCGCCAGACCCGCCGCCCGGAATCCCCTGAGCTGCCCGTCGCCACACGTGACCGCATCCTCCCTCCAGCTCCACAGCTGAGTGAGTTGGGGTTCGTCCCCATCCCACTTCCAGACCCTTGCTGAGCCAACTCCGGGGAGAGGGAGCTGCTGGAGGAGGCCGCTGAGTTGGGGCCACCCGGCAGAAGCCCTCGTGGGAGGGATTTAGGACCAGGAGGTAGCCACGAGAAACTGGAGCCCGCGGTCCTAGCACCAACCGGGCGCGGGGCCTGGGAGACCGCGAACCCTTCCCCGGGAATGCGCGTGCGGCCGTTGCCATGGCAACGTACAAGCTTGGGCCCGCCTTCTCTGAAGGAAAGGGGAGGTTGTTCAGGGATGAGGGATGTTCCTCCTGAGGTCCAAACTCGTGACGCGGCCGTCGCACTAGGAAACCGAGGATGTCCCTTCCCCCGTCCCCCAAATCCTTTGGGAGGCAGAGCTCAAGTCGGATCGCTTCTCTGAGCCTCAGTTTTACCATCTGCCAAATGGAGGCAATATTATTGGCTCCAGCCTCTCCAGAGTTATACGGACGGTAACGGTCCGGGCTGGCCCTCCCTTTTCGTGGGCTACCCCAGGAGTAGGTTTCAGCAGATGACTCCTGCGACCCTGCCCCACCCACAGGCCCGCTCGCCATGGCCCTCTTCGGGGCCCTCTTCCTAGCGTTGCTGGCCGGCGCCCACGCGGAGCTCCCCGGCTGCAAGATCCGCGTCACAGCCAAGGCCCTGGAGCTAGGTAAGGCGCGGAAGCAGGCCGAAGCGGGTGGGGCGTGGTCCCCCTGCAGGGGGCGCGGGAGCTAAGGCCTCGCTGCTGCCTCAGTGAAGCAGGAGGGGCTGCGCTTTTTGGAGCAAGAGCTGGAGACCATCACTATCCCAGACCTGCGGGGCAAAGAGGGCAGCTTCTATTACAACATCTCTGAGTAAGCTGGGGCCGGGGAGCCGGGCTTTGGGACCGGGGCGGGGCTCGAAGTTGAAAGTTGTTTTAGGCGCCATGGGGGCGGGGCTGACTTCACACGTGACCCCAGGAGGCCCCGAGGGCCCAGCGGGATGGGGGCGTGGCCAGAACGACGGGACAGGACTAAGAAACGACTTGGGGTAAAAAGAGTAAAGACCAAGCCCGCCAATACAACCGAGACCAGGCAGATGGGCGTGGCATGGAGGACGTAGGTGGCCCCAGGAAGAACCAAGTGAAACTGAGGCAGGCATGGTCAAAAAACCCCAGAACGGAACGGTAGAGGAACTTGCGAGTGGATGACATTGGAGGCCAGGCATGAAGTGGAGCTAATGGGAGGGACTACAAGTGTGACCTGTGGGTTGGGATGGGCATGATAGGGGAACTGGGATACGGGGCAGATTTTAAGTAACAGGCAAAGCTAAAAGACCCAGGGGAGCAAGCCACAAGGCTACTAAAGGCCACTGTGCCCAGCGGTGTAGCCTGCCAATTATAATTCCGATCGAACTCAGGACCTTTTGCTTTCCAGGCAGGGGCGGTACCACTGAGCTAAATTCCCAGCCTGAAACTCATTTTTAACACCTGGGCCGGGAGTAGCTAATCTCTGAGCCACTAAAATCCGAACTGGGTGCTTGGCTGGACGTGGTGGGGCATGCCTGTAATCCCAGCCTTTAGGAAATCGGGGCAGGAGGATTGCCCTGAGTTTGAGGCTGGCCAGGGCTACATAGTGAGTTCAAGGCCAGGGTCAACTATATAATGAGATCCTATCTCAAAAAATGAACAAACTCCCCCAAAATCAATTGGGTGCTTCAGGGGGAAGAGAATAATTCATTCCACCCGTTTCCTCGAGCCTGTACTGGATGAGGAGGGAGTGAATTTCCTGTGGTTAGATGGGGTCTACTCCTCTTGGCCCTGGATCTGACCCAGGCCTCCCACAGGGTGAAAGTTACCAAGCTGCAGCTGAGGCCCTCAGAGCTCCATTTCCAGCCTGAGCAAGAGCTGATGCTGCAAATCACCAACGCCTCCTTGGGGCTACACTTCCGGAGACAGCTTTTCTACTGGTTCTTGTGAGGATGTGGGACTATCGGGGAGAAGCGGGTGGTCAGGAGGACTGGGATGCTGTGTGACTGTGGGCAACGCCTTAGCTTTTCTGGGTTCCATCCTTTCATCAGGAACAACCTCGAACTTCATAAAGGTTGATAGGCTTTGGGAGGATGGCTGGTAAACTGTGCAGAAGTGAAGCCTTTTTAAGAGGTGTCATGGTGTATGGGGAGGGGTGGGAAGCCTCAAGCTCCCTAATGGGATGACCATGAGCCCCCGTTGGCAGCTATGATGGGGGCTACATCAACGCTTCGGCCGAGGGTGTGTCCATCCGCACAGGTCTGCAGCTCTCTCAGGATCCCACCGGCCGGATGAAAGTGTCCAATGTTTCATGCCAGGCCTCTGTCTCCAGAATGCATGTGGCCTTCGGGGGAACCTTCAAGTAAGTCCCATCCCCAGTGCACCCCTTTTAAGCCCTACGATGCAAAAAGTGGGAGTCAGACCAGCTGGGTTCAAATCTCAGTACCAGCACTCCCTGACTATGTGAACTTGGGCAAATCACTGAAGCTCAGGGCCTCAGTTTTTTTGTTGGTATAATGAGGATGATAACAGAACCTAGTAGATAAGGTCATAGGGATCGAAGTCGTCTTCTGTGTGGACAGGGTAGGACCTGGCACATGATAGATGCTTATCTAAGTACTGCTCACTTACTAAGAGTAATTGTGAGGATTAGTGTGTGAGGATTAGTACAGTGTCCTGTACTGGGTTCTCAATCATTGGTAGCCCTTTATTTTGAGACAGGGCTTAATTAAGTCACTGAGTTGCCCAGGCTGGGCTCAAACTTGCAGTCCTCCTGCCCTAGCCTCTCACAGTGCTGCGATGACAGGCATGCACAGTTGCTTTTAATAATAACAAAAATAATACCACTGTTCCAGGTTCTGAGCTGAGAAGGGGACTTTGTTGTGCTGGTTCTGGGAGAGGGTGGGAAGAAGATGGTGGATTTGTCATCTGCTGTTGGTTGTCAGGTTTTTATATATTCAGCAAAGTATACGCCAGGCCCTGAGGATTCAGAAAGCAGCTCAGAGCCTAGCTGGAGGGACTAAACAGAGCCTGGATCAAGACCCCCAGAGGACTAAGAAAGTACTCTGGGTGTCCAGAGGAGGACGACCTGGGAAGGCTGTCTAGAAGAGGAGGGATCTGCGTACATCCAAGAGGAAATCGGGCAGGGACACTGAGGATGGCAGGGAAGGAATCAGGAGGTGCTCTGCACCTCTGAGGAACTGTGATGGGTCACTGTGGTGGACCCATGTGGCTGGTGGCAGCAGCAGGTAGGTGAGTCAGTCTTGAGATCAAGCTGGAGAGGGGCTTGGGGCCCTGATGTTGGAAAACGGCACAGAGTAGCTAGCTGGTAATTCAGGCTGAAGCTGAGGAGTCCCTGTCACAACTGTGTCTCTGGTCATTTCCATTTCTCCTGGACCTGGACTGGGGCTGAGTTCACCTCTCTCCTCCTCTCCTCTGCTTGCAGGAAGGTGTATGATTTTCTGTCCACATTCATCATCTCTGGGCTGCGCTTCCTACTCAACCAGCAGGTATGGGCAGTGGCAGGCTGGGGGCCTGGGGTGGGCACGCCTTGGCTTTGAGAAGGCCCTGACTCTGGCTCTTGCCTCCTAGATTTGTCCAGTGCTCTACCACTCAGGGATGGTCTTGCTCAACTCCCTCCTGGACACTGTGCCCGGTGAGTTGGGCCAGGTGGGGTCAGAAGCCCTGGGGCTGGCCTGAAGTTGGGGGGTGAGGAGCAGGCTGGGTGAACATCTGTCATGCAGCTCAGTGTAGGCCCCTCCATACCCAGCTGTGGGTCAGCCCTGGGTGTGGTCCTAGCACTGACTTCAGTGTGATCGCAACAGGGCTTCTGTCCTCACTTGGCTGGCAGTGCCTCCTTCTAGGATTTTTTTGGTACTGGGGATCAAACTCGGGACCTTGCGCTTTCGAGGCAGGTGGCGGAACCACTGAGCTAAATCCCCAGCCCTGCCTCCTTCTACGTTGACAGGGTCCTCATTGCTGATATTGTGGCCCCATTAGTCTTCATCATCTAGCAGGTACTAGGTGCTCATTTAACATGATCTCCTTGTTCCTAAGCCGTAATCTATGTCGACTGTGGAGCAGAGATCTTATCTCATCATGCCCAACACACAGGATCTGGGAAACGAAAGATAAAGGAGGGAAAACCAAGAAAGAAAAGGATTCCTTTGCCTTCTTATTTAGTGACTTAATGAAACCCCTCTAGTAGGAATAATAGGAGTAATAAAAATAATCATAGGCATGCTGGCACAGGCCTGTAATCCCAGCACTCTGGGAGGCTGAGGCAGGAGAACTGCAAGTTTGAGCCCAGCCAGGGAAATTTGCAATTTAGTGAGACCCTGATTCGATTTAGCTCAGTGGTTCTGCCGCCTGCCTCGCAAGTGGAAGGACCCCAGTTCAATCTCTGATACCAAAAAAAAAAAGTAAATAAAAGGGCCAGGGATTTAGTTCAGTGGCCACTGTGCCTACCTCGAAAGCGCAAGGTCCTGAGTTCAATCCCTGGTACCCCCCCCCCAAAAAAGGTAAATAAAAAGGCTGAGGATGTAAGTTTAGTGTGTAGGGCCTGGGTTCAGTCCTCAGCACTGAAAAAAAAAGAAAAAGCTAACATTACTGAACACTTACTACATATCAGGCACTAAGTGGTTTCCACATAAAACAAATTCCATCCTCATAACAACCTTAGGAGGAAAGTATCACCGTGTTATGGATGAGAGGCCCAGAGAGGTTAAGCATCTGGCCTAGCATCACACAGCTTTGAGTGACTTGAGCCCCTCCCTGCAGTGCGCAGTTCTGTGGATGACCTGGTTGGCATCGACTACTCCCTCCTGAAGGATCCTGTGGTCTCCAATGACAATCTGGACATGGAATTCCGGGTGAGCTGCCTAGGATGGTTTGTGCATAACCTCTGACCTCTGGCCACACTCTTTCTTCCTCTAAGTTGCTGGTTTTATCTTCCTACAGCACAGCTCCGATGCAGCCACTCTTGGTACTGAGAGTGCTGTGGCTCCTTATTGCTACAGTTAGGTTCAGCCTCCTGACACTGAGGTTTTGTGCCCACCCTCAGCACCACACTGGGGACTGAACTCAGGGCCTTTGTACTGAGCTGTATCTCTACCCTTTGCTAGGCATTATAAGTAATCTAAAGATGATTTAAAGTATACAGGAGGTTATTTGTGGATTATATGTAAATACTATGCCCCCTTTTCTTGAGACAGGGCCTCACTATGTCGTTCAGACTGGCTTTGAACTATGTAGCCCAGGCTGGCCTCTAACTCATGGTGATCCTCCTGGCTCAGCCTTCCGAGTGCTGGGAGTACAGATGTGCACCACCACGCTCAGCTTTGTCTGGCTTTGGAGCCTCATTAATCATGTCTAGCCACATCTTCCTAATTGCATCCTGTTTCTTTGTAGCTACTCTTGCCTGAATAAACCCCTCACCTCCTACCTCCATGCTCATACATTGCCCATCCCCTTTTCCTCAAAGGAATCGGATATGAAGTTTGTGTACAGAACCTCATTTCACCCTCGCAGATGCCTGTGAATCGGGTACTAACATTATACAGTCTTCTGCTATCCGAGGGGGATGGGTTCTAAGACCCCGTGGATACCAGAATCTGAGGATGCTCCAGTCCTTATATAATGTGGCATGGTATTGCCAGGCATGGTGGTGTACAGCTGTAGATAGCAGAATCACCATGAGTTCAAAACCAACCTGGGTTACATAGTGAGTTCAAGGCCAGCCTGGACTACACAGTGAGAGTCTGTCTCAAAAAAAAAAGGCATAGCATATTTACATATAACCTACACGTATCCTCCTGTATACTTTAAACCATCTTTAGATTACTTATAATGTCTAGTACAATGTAAATACTATGTAAATAGCTGATACAGTGTATTCTTTTTTTTTTTTTTTGGTACCAGGGATTGAACTCAGGACCTTGTGCTTGCGAGGCAGACACAGTGCCACTGAGCTAAATCCCCAGCCCACTTTACAGTGTATTCTTTTTTTTTTTTTTTGGTACCAGGGATTGAACTCAGGACCTTGTGCTTGCGAGGCAGACACAGTGCCACTGAGCTAAATCCCCAGCCCACTTTACAGTGTATTCTTTTTTTTTTTGGTACTGGGGATCAAACTCAGGTCCTTGCGCTTGAGGGGCAGGTGGCGGAACCACTGAGCTAAATCCCCGGCCCTACAGTGTATTCTTTAGGAACTATGACAAGAAAAAAAAAGTCTATAGGGTACATGCCTGGTACAGATGTAGTGGTTTTTTGTCAGTCAACAGTTGGTTGAATCTGCGCCTATAGAGAACCAGTTGCCACCTGTGCTCATTTTAGATATGAAGACTTCTCGGAGAGGTGATGTTAGCTCAGTGTGCTGGTGCACACCTGTAATCTCAGCACTTGGGAAGCTGAGGCAGGAGTTTGAAGCAAGCCTGAGCTACACAGTGAGACCCTATCTCAAAAGCCAAATAACAAAGACAAAGGAAAGGAAAGCGGGGTGCGGTGGCACAGATTTATAATCCCAGTACACAGGAGGCTGGGGCAGAGGATTGTGAGTTTGAGGCCAGCCTGAACTATACAGGGAGACTTTGTCTCAAAAGGAAAAAAAGGGGTTGGTGTCACATACCCAAGCCACACAGCTAGTATGTGGCTACTACCTTTGCTCCTCCCACCGGAAGGTAGCCAAGAATTTCAGAGCACAAAATCTGTAGCTAGAATTCTGAAACTCAAATCCTGGCTCCACCACTGACTAGCTGGGTGACCTTATGGAAGTGCTTAACCTGCTATGACTGTTTCCCAATATGAAAAGGAGACTAGTAGAGTGAGGAAACAGGCCTCAGGGCCGCTGCTTGAGCTGATCTTTATGCAGGGGCTGAATGAGTATGCGGTACAGAGCCACAAGGTCTGTGTAGTAACAGTGTCTGTTGATGCCATCTGGCTTTCAAGGCCCACTCAGATGCCACCTCTCCCATGGAACCTTCCCTGATCCTCCCCTCCCTGGGCCAATGGAGTTGCTCCCTGCAGTTCTCCAGCTGCCCACCTTGCAATGCCTTTTAAAAGATGTGCCTGTGAGTTTCCCTGGAACCAGCACAGGGTGAGGAGACACCTGCTGTCAGTCTGGATGCTGGGCTGCTCTGCCTTGCCCCTGACCCCGACCCCCAATCTCAGGGGGCATTCTTCCCCCTGGCTGAGGGGAACTGGAGCTTCCTCAACCGGGCAGTGGAGCCTCAGCTGCAGGAGGAGGAGCGGATGGTATATGTAGCCTTCTCGGAGTTCTTCTTCGACTCTGCCATGGAGAGCTACTTCCGGGCAGGAGCCTTCCGGCTGTCACTGGAGAAGGTATGCCAGGGCCTGTCTGTAAGATGGGCAAGGAGTTCCTGATTGAGCTCCCAATGACCCTGTCTCATTCCCAATTCCCCTGTTCAGCTGCCAAAGGATCTGGACGTGCTGCTGAGGGCCACCTACTTTGGAAGCATTGTCTTCCTGGTGAGCACTGGTGGGATACAGGGGTGTGGCCAGGGTTTCAGGGCAGCCACCTACACACAGGGAGGGGGTCAGCAGAGGCCCTAGAGGAGACAAAGTCCCCTCACCTTGCCAAGCCTGTTTCCAAATCTATGGAGATGCTACTTCCTGTCCTGTCTGGCACAGATATGGTGAGGGTGGGAGAGAACCCAAGTCTTGCAAGTGTAGGAACTTTAATGAAAGAAACACTGCAGTTATTACTAAAGGACATTTTTTTCAGTTCAGTTTTATAAATGATATGAGCTGGAATTGGAATCTGGTTTGGATTCTGACTCCAGGTCACCCAGACCTCCTCTACCTTATACAGCCTCATAAGGTTGTCACCGGGATTAAACAAATGAAACATGCAAAATAATTAGAACAGCACCTGATACAGAGCAAGCACGCAGTAAACTACAACTACTGTTATTGCTATCATCAGTGTCACCATCACCACCATAAAACTTATGACCAAACAGTTAAGAGCATGAACTCTGCTCAACTTCTGTATCCCAACTGATGAACTGTGTAACCATGGACAAATTAATAACCTCAGTGGCTCGACTTCCCTATCTCAAAAATGAAGATAATATTACCTGGTTCACATGGTTATTGTGAGGCTTAATTGAAGTAACATACATGCCGTCCTCAGAATCACATTGGTGATAAGGAAGCCCTGGAATTTAATAGAATTCCTGTGTGTCTTGTAGAAGTAGCGGAAAAGCTCAGAGAAGGGGTAACGGGGTTGAGGTATTTGTGCACAAAGGCTGTCCCTGGGTCTAGTTTGGAATGGACCCTGAATGTTAAGGAGGAAGTATTAGGAAAGCAGAAGTTGGGTTTGGTAGTGCACACCTGTGACCCCAGCACTTGGGAGGCTGAGGAAGGAGGATTGCCACGAGTTTGAGGCTAACCTGGGCTACATAGTGAGTTCAGGGCCAGCCTGAGCTACACAGCGAGACCCTGTATCAGAAAACAAGCTGGGAGTGGGGGAGGGCTTGAGGGGGGAAATGGGATAAAATAAAATAATTTAAAGAAAAAAACTAAAAGAAAGAATGAATGACTTAGAAAAGCAGAGAAGGTAGGAGACACTCCTTCGTGTAGCCCAAAGGACAGGGGCCAGGCGCAGACCAAGTCTGGAACCCATGTAAGCCTTGGAACCTGCAGTCCCTGGGCTCCCAGAGGGCAGAAGCTGTTACCTTCCTCCATGGGGTTCTCCGGGATATGACCCACCCTCCTTGCTCTGTTCCTAGACCCCCGCAGAGATCGATTCCCCGCTGAAGCTGGAGCTTCGAGCCACAGCCCCACCGCACTGCACTATCAAACCCACTGGCACCACCATCTCTGTCACTGCCAGTGTCACCATTTCCCTGGTCCCGCCCAGCCTGCCGGAAATCCAGCTGTCCAGCATGATCATGGTGCAGGCCCCAGGCCGGGAGCCACCGGGGATCAGGGAGAATGGGGCTGTGGACTTTCGAGTCCATAACACACTCTCCTGTACTTGATCACAGGAAGTGCGTCTCAGTGCCAAGATGGCGCTCCGGGGCAAAGCCCTGCGCGCGCAGCTGGAACTGCGCAGGTACGCGGATGCAGAGGATCAGGCATGACTGGCTACTCTGTACCTTAGTGTTTTCAGAATAATCACACCTGCCCAACAGAACAGTGCAGCTAAAATTGAGCCATATCTGTACTCCACAGGCCAGCTGGGGTCTTTGTTAATGCAGACAAAAGTTTTTTCCTTTTTTTGTTCTATTTTTTGACAGTGCTGGAAATTGAACCCAAGACCACATGCATGCTAGGGAAACATTCAACCTCCAAGCTGCACTTCCAGCCCTAGAAGTGCATTCCTTTTTTCTCTACCCCAATATAGGGAATTGAACCCAGGGTTTTTCCCCTGAGCTACATTCCCAACCCTTTTTTACTTTGAGACATGATCTACTTAAGTCAACTTGGAATCTTCCTGCCTTACCCTGCCCCAGGTGCTAGGATACAGGCATGCACCATCATAGCCAGTCCAAAGTACATCTTTGTTTTGTTTTTTGAGACAGGGTCTCTATGTAGTTCAGCCTGGCCTCAGACTCACAGAAATCATCCTGCCTGAGCCTCCTGAGTGCTGGGATTATAGGCGTGTGCCACCGTGCCTGGCCAAAAGTATCTTCTAGAAAGTAACTACTCAGCATTCCAACAACCCTAGAGGCAGGCAAAGCAGGTATTATTAGAGACAAGCAAAGTCTAGCAGAGAAATTGACATGCTCATAGTCATACACCAAAGACATTTAGAATGTGAGTTGGACAGAACCTTCAGGAAAACATAGCTTTGTGTCCTTGAAGCAAATTATTTTATCTTCTTGAACTTGAAATACAGATAAAAATATCACTTACTCTGCCAGGTGTGGTGGCGCATGCCTGTAATCCCAGCACTCAGGAGGATCACCATGAGTTCGAGGCCAGCCTGGACAACATAGTGAGTTGAAGGCCAGCTTGAACTACATAGCGAGACCCTGTCTCAAATTACAAACAAAAATATTACTTTCTAGAACTGTACTCTGGTAGGTAGCCATTAGTCATGTGGAACTGCAGTATTTGCACTTAATTTATGTATAATTAAATAGTTCTTCAGTTGCACTAAGCCACATTTTATTACCCACAAATGACTCCTGGCTACCACAGTGGACAGTACAGACAGAACATTTCCCACAGAGTTTTATTGCACAGTGCTATTCTGGGGCTGTTCTAAATGAAGGCTGGAGGCAGGTGTGGTGATGCTTGCCTGTAATTCCACCACTCTGGGTGGCTGAGGCAGGAGAATTATAAATTTGAGCCCAGGGTGGGCAATTTAGAGACTTAGCAAGACCCTGTCTCAAAATAAAACAGGGCTGAGTATGTAGCTCACTATGAAGGCTGTAAATTCAATCCCCAGTACCTCAAAATAAAAAATAAAACAAAATAAAATAGAGCCAGGCGTGGTGGTGCATGCCAGTAATCCTGGCTCTTGGGAGACTGAGGCAGGAGGATCAAGTGTACAAGTCCAAGCTGGACGTGGTGGCAAATGCCTGTAATCCCAGCACTCAGGGGGGCTGAGGCAGGAGGACTGTGGTGAAAACAAAAACAAAAAGTACAAGTTCATCCTGACTACATAGGGAGACCCTGTCTCAAAAAACAACAAAAATAAATGAGGGCTGGAGGTATAGCTGAGAAATAGAGCACTTGCCTAGTATGCTTGAAGCCTAGGTTCATTCCCCAGCATATTACACACACACACACAGTAGGGGGGAGGTCTAAATGATAATCAGACAGGGTAATGGTTAAGAACCAAAATTTTACAGGCGAGTTCTGATACTTACAGCTGTGTGACTTTAGGCAAATTACTTTAACCTCTGTGGACCTTATTTTCCTCATCTATGAAGTGCAATTTCTGATGGTGTCTATTTCTTTTCTTTTCCTTTTGGTTTTTTGAGGCAGGGTCTCACTATATAGTGCAGGCTGGCCTTGAACTCGCAGCAATCCTCCTGCCTCAGCCTCCCAAGTGCTGGGATTAAAGGCATGCACCATCAGAGCTAGCAATTTCTTAGGGTTGTTATGAGGACTAAATTGTTATTTTATCTGGGTGTGGTGGCACACACAGGCCTGTAAGTCTACAATGCTGGAAAGCTGAGGCAGGAGGATTGCAAGGCAATTTAAGCAAGATGCTGTCTCAAAAAAAACAAAAATTTTTTTTCCTTGTACTACTGGGAGTTGAACCCAAGGCCTCACACATGCTAGGCAAGCACTTTATCCCTGAGCTACATTCCAGTTTTTTTTTTTTTTTTTTTTTTGAGACAGTATGTTGCTAAGTTGCTCAGGCTGGCCTGACAGCAGCCAGGATCACAGGTGTGTTCCACGGTATTTGGCTGCATTTAACTTTTTAAACCTGTTTAGTATCTGACAGGGAGTAAGCACTGTGAGTTTTGTTAAATAAACAACACATGCAGTGCTGTCAATGGGAGTCGAGTATAGAGGCGCTTGACAAATAAAAAGTGGATCTGGAGAGCAGGAGCCCCAAGGAGGCGGAAGTGACACACACTGGAGTGGCAGAGCTACAGTGAGTCCCAGAGGTGGAACATGGAAGACTGGAAGCAGGGACCGCCTGCAGGCAGCCTCCGGGCTTCTTCCCAGTCTGGCTTTTGTTTCTCTTGCTCCCTAGGTTCCGGATCTACTCAAACCAGTCCGCACTGGAGTCACTGGCAGTAAGTTGAGAAGGGTCGGGGCCTGAGGAAGGGGGTTCCTGGTGGGCGGCCAATGCGGGCACCCTGCCCACCCCTGCCTGCCGTTGCCTCTCTCCCCACCAGCTGATCCCGCTGCAGGCCCCTCTGAAGACCCTGCTGCAGATTGGGGTGATGCCCCTGCTCAATGGTAGGCCTGGGCGCGGGAAGGGGGGGGCTGGGGTAGCCCGGACTGAGCTGGCTGTTCCACCCACAGAGCGGACCTGGCGTGGCGTGCAGATCCCCTTACCTGAAGGTATCAGCTTCACCCGTGAGGTGGTGACGAACCACTCGGTGAGCAGGGGTGTGAGTGGGAAGAGGGGCAGGGCGTTCCCCTCCCTACAGCTCTCCAGCGCGCTCCACAGCCTCCCCCAGGCCCCTCTCAGGCTCCTCTAGTCCTCTCCCCAGGTGGTGCCTTCCTGCTACTCCAATCCCAGCGCAGCCTGTCGATCTTTCAGACCTTAGCTGAGGGGTCACCTCCTCCCCTCCTCTGAGAAGCCCCCTTGATGCTCAGTCTGTGGTTCTACATCCTGTGTAGCACCTTTGACCTAGAGCTGTAAGAACCGCTTTGCCTGACTCTCCCACTAGATTGAGACCCGGCCCTCTGCACCGCCAGGGCCCCTGTCTTTAGGCTCAGTAACTGCATGAATGAATGAGACCCCTTTCTGCTCCGCTACACAGGGCTTCCTTACCGTTGGGGCTGACCTCCACTTTGCCAAGGGGCTTCGAGAGGTGATTGAAAAGAACGGGCCTGCCAACACCAGAGACGCCCAGGCATCCAGTGCCCCTCCGCCCTCCACGGCAGCTGCCTGAGCCCTCTACCCCCACACTGGCAGCTGCCAGTCAGTACTCCATCCCTCCTCGGCCTTTCCCTCTGCCCCTCCACAGCCCCGTAGGGTCCCACTGGCCCCCAGTGCCACAGAGAAGACAGGGTTTGAAGTTGTTCCCAATTTAATTCCATCATCAGTTTATCTGTCAATTACAATCCATCCACCCCTCCCCTTGGGCTGTCCTGAGAGCTGTGTGGGGTCCTGGGAAGGGATCAGTGCACCAGGAAGGGCTTTCTTCAAGCAGGGAGGGGGCCAGGCCACCCAGGCAGGGACTGCTGCAGGGATGAAGTGCTAGCCTGCCCCTCAGCTGTCTGAGATACAAGGCCCAGTCTGGGATGCTCAGGGCTTGCGTGGGAAGTGGCGGAGGTACTGGGGGCAGAGAGCTGCCCCTACGGGGCATTCTGGGTAAAGGAGGACCAGCCTCCCTCCTAGTGGGAGACCCTGGGAGGGGCTGGGTCACACAGTAATTCTTTTCCACGGGTCTCCTCGGTCATCAGTAGGGCTCCTTGTTCAGGAAGCGGGAGAACATGGTGAAGGCAGCTAGGGGCTTGTCAGTGGGGACCATGTGTCCAGCACCCTGGGGAAGCAGAGCTTTGTGAGAATCTGGTCCCACCATTACTTCCTTCATCGTTCCTTCCCTCACTGAAAACCCAGTGGTGACCCGGAGGGCATGGCCCAGGCCCTACCTTAATGGTGAGGAAGTCAATGTAGGAGAACTCCTTCACGAAGCCAGCAACCTGCTCCCCGCTGTCCCCATAGTCCACTAGCCAGGGCCGCCGCTGCACCTCCGTCTGTCCCACCAGGAAAGTCATCAGCTTGGGGCACCTTATCCCTGCTCATGGCTGCCAGCCAGAGCAGGACGTCGGGCTCAGGACCTACTCTGTTTGCCCTCTGTGAACAGAGCTGCTCCCAGGCACCTCCATCCCTACACTCAGCCCTATCGAGAAAGGCTGGGAACCCCTGCCTTACCTTCTGGTTGAGGGAATCCACAAACCACTCATCCCCCAAGAAATTGCAGGCCATGTCCACGTCTCCATTGTATATCAGGATCTGGTATTTCTGCAGCAGGATAAGGGGACTAATAGGAGATCCAGAATATGCCCAGGCCCCAGCCCTGCCCTGGTGCAAGCCTTAGCCTTCAGGGAGTTCAAGGAGCCCAGCTAAATAGTGTGACCTGGGAACTTCTTGTGTTTTCTGTTTCCTACCTATCCAATGAGTACTAAGGAAACACTTTATCACGAAGGCATATACCATTATTATAAGTCCCGTTTTACTGGGAACTTGCAGTTAGAGACAAGAAGAAGACTTGCTGCTTGGCAGGGCATGGTGCCACACACCTGTAATCCCAGCACTCAGGAGGCTGAGACAGGAGAATTGCTGTGAGTTTGAGGCCAGCCTAAGCTACATAGTGAGTTCAAGGCCAGACTGAACTACATAGTGAGACCTTGTCTCAACCAAAAAAAAAGACTTGCTGCTGGCCTTACATAACCTTGGGCAAAGCTATCTCCTACCCTGACCATTTATTTGCCTATTTGTCACATGATCCAACTAGCTCTTCTTGATCTACAGGGAGTAGCATGAAGTGGAGACAGACTCAGGTTCACATCTGGACCTTGGGGAAAGGACTTTACCTCTTGGGGTTTCAGCCTCTCTGCTCCCAAAGGGAGCTCTAAAGGGCCCCGCAGCTTGCTGTGCTACTCTAGGGCCCTGTGGCTGCTGGCGGATCAAGCTGTGCTGTCCCCACGAACCTGTGAGTTGAGCAGCTTCAGGTACTGTGAGTTCATATTTTGGTAGAGACGGCGATATTGTAAATTGACCAGGAAGCTGTAGGGAGTACAGACCCCAGGAAGACCAGACAGCAGAGGGGGAAAAAAAGCCAAGAGATCAGTTTTTGTCCTCTCCCCAACCTCCAACCTAGAAGGCAGGCAGCTAGGTTTTCAACTATATCACTTCTCTAGGACCTACCTGGATGGGGGCTGGCATTCAAAAACCCTCAGCCCACCCCCAGAGAGAAATGTACGAGACGCCTTTTGGTTATTACAGTGACTGGGACACAAGTGGCACTGAGTGCTTAGGAGCCGGCAGGTGTGACAGTCACAGCACATAACAGCAGGGTAAAGCATGGGCACTGACCAGCAGAGCAGACCTGACTAAGCCCCACTGTGCCAGGCACCACCCAATGCAGATAGAAAGGCATTGGAGTAGGGATTGGGACAATGTCCATTCACTAAATGTCCCAAGAGCAACTGACATTACCAACCAAGGTGGCCACTGATTAGTGAACTGGCTGTGTGTCGCTCAACTTGGAGGTAAGTGTCCTCATCCTGCACAACAGCTAATTTTCATGCCCTGAAGGCCCACACTGCCCACTGAAGAAGCCCAGGCAGAGGATCCCTGGGAACCCTTTTTTGTTTTTGTTTTGCTGTACCAGATTAGGACCTTGCCCTTGCCAAGCAGGCATGGCACCACTGAGCTACATCCCTGACCCCATGGGAACGTTGTTATTGCCCATGAGCCCTGGCAGCCTGCCACCCTGCGCTAAGAGTGGCCATGGAAACTTACTTGCACATGTTCCAAGGGGGCAGCTGCTCAGGGATGTGGAGGGCCTTCCGCACGTATGGGTCGTTGAGGTAGGTGGAGGGAGCTGTGGTGTTGGTGCAGGGGGGGTCCAGGCGTACTTTGTTCCCAGAACGCAGCAGGGCCTGGGGGCAGCCACAGGGTCAGGGTCCTCACTTGCTTGCCCTGCCCACTCCTCGGGGAGGAAGCCCAAGCCTGTGCACACCTGATGCTGTGTCCGCTTGAGTGGCAGACAAGTGAAGATGTTGCCGAAATCCTGGACCACGATAGTGTCCTTCTCATACCTGCAAGTAACATGGTGGTGGTGGTGGTGCTGGGCCTCTAGATGGGACTGGGGTTGGCCCAAGGGGTACACAGCAGCTCCTACCTAAGATGGCCAGGCACACCCCCCGCACACGGGGCGTAGAGGTTGTAGATGTTGAGGCCAGAGTTGCTCACAATGTGGGACACTTCCTGAAGCTGCAACAACACACCAGCATGCTTCACAGATCCAAGGCCTGCCACGGTCTCACCCACTTACCCCAAGATGCTTCACCTTTTCCAGAGGTGGGGAAACTGAAGCTTACAGCAAGGAGTCTTCCAGACCTAAGTCCAAAGCCCAGAACTATTTCCTAACATCATGACTTAAGGCAAGTGACTTAAAAATTCTGGGCCTCAGCTTCCTTACTGGGCATCCCAGAGAACACTGCCAAAAGGTGCAGCTTAGAAAAGCAATAGGCAATAGGGCTGGGGATTTAGCTCAGTGGTTCTGCTGCCTGCCTCGAAAGCTCAAGGTCCCAAGTTCAATCCCTGGTACCACAAAAAAAAAACCAAAAAACCGAAAAGCAATAGGGGCCGGACATGGTGGGGCATGCCTGTAATCACAGCTACTCAGAAAGTTGAGGCAGGTGGATCACAAGTTTGGGGCTGGCCCAGGCAATGTAGTGAAAGCCTGTCTCAAAATTTTAAAAAAGGGGGGCAGGGGGCTGGGTATGTAGCTCAGTGGCAGAGTGCTTGCCTAGCATGTTGAAGGAGGCCTTGGGTTCGCTAGTCTTAGAAGAAAAGTAGCAAGCAATGGGACCCACGGACAGGGAATCCCACGGAGGGGATGTGATGGTGACTCTTCTCAGGATTAGGGAGGGCAGGGCGGATGTACAGTAGAGGCAGAACCTCACATTTGTCACACATTCTGGGTCTTTGTTGTCATAGAAGTTACACTTGTTTTGAGAGCAGCAGTGGGCCTGGAGCAAAGACCAGAGCCTGTAGGAGATCAGAGGGAAAGTGCTTAGGCCCGTGCTGGGCAGAGATGACAAGTGTCCCCTCGCCACCCTTCAGCTGCTCACAGGACCTGACCCCAGGTGTCAAAGAAAAGTATCACAAGCTGTGGTATATAGGTCTCCAATCCTAGCTTCCACAGAACCTGCCTTGAGCTATACAGAAAGCCCTCTTTAGTCCCTTTGGGTTCAGATATCTATTCTTGACCATTTAGCACCAAACCTTCTGGCCACTCCAGTCCCCACCTGCACATAAACCAGGGCAGGGTGTGGGATATTAGATATTATGTGCCAGGAGGATGGATTTGTGATTTCATGATTGGCCCCATCTCAGAGATTGCCCAACTGACCCTCTTGCATACCTGTTCCCCAGAAGGCCATGGTAGTAGGCAAAATAGACCAGTGAGTTGTCATTCTGCTCATAGGAGGAGAGTCCATTGCCCACAGCCAGCCCCTGTGAAATATCCAGGGCACTCAGGTCATCTGGAGGGTGAGGATGAGGAGGAGCCTCCCTTGAACTACACCTAGACCTGCAATCTAAGTCCAGGGTGGATTGTGGGGGTGGTGGGTGGAGGAGGCCACTCAAGGTACGGAAAGAGCTGGCAGTCTCCCAGATGGGGTTCCTGTGGTGGGACCCATACAAGCAGAGCAGTCCTAAGGAGGTTCTGAAAGAGGCTGGGGGTAGGGATGAGGGGGCAGGGTTGACCTGTCTGACCTAACTGCAAGGCTGTGGCCACAAAGGGCCTCCCTTCCCTCCTGCAGCTGTTTTGCACCTGAAGGTTCATGCTGTCATCCTGCATGACCAGCACAGCTAGGGTGGGGATGTAGATGCCGGCATAGCTCTCGCCAGTCAGGAAAAGTTTGTTGTTCTTATACTCCGGAAAGAGGCGGAAGAAATCCTTAAGGGCTTCAAAATTGCTCTGGGCGACCTAAGGGTGGCAGGATGGAACCAGAAACTTTGCCATTTGAACTAAAAAGATCCTTAGAGATAATGAAACCAACACAACCCTGTTTGTGCAAGAGGAAGTGACTTGTCTGTGATCATACCACACAGCACAAAAGAGTGCCAAAAACTGACTCTGAGGTCATGCTCTTTCCCGTCATCAAGGCATCTTTGGAGAACTCCAGGGAGGCTGAAGTAGTGGGCAGCCACCGGACTCACCTCAGTGTCATTGGTAGCATAAACCTTGTCATCAGAGTAGGAGAAGCCCACCCCAGCTGGGGACTCGATATACAACATGTTGGCAATCTAGAGGGGAGAAGGAACTGAGCTAAAGAGGGTTCCTCACCCTATCCAGGTGCCCAGATATCCCCACGGGACCGACAGCTCACTGTCCATACCAAGTTCCAAGAATAAGGGTTGTACTTCAGAGTGACACCATCTGGCTGGATCTGAGGAGGAAAGAGATGGCTTGGTGAGTTTCAAAGTCCAAGGAAGTGGAGGGAACGGGCCATCGTGCTAGGCCCTTTATGTATGGGCCACTCCCTTCGGCACTGCCCCCCACCCAACTCAGACGATGATACAGATGAAAAGACCAAGGTTCCGGAAGAAAGAAGGCATTTTGGAAACCCCTCTCCCAGCCTTTTCCTTGGGGGAACTGTCCCTTCCCTCTCTACCTACCAGGAAGGGGCCATGCTCTGTGAGGAACCCATCCAGGGAGCTGCAGCCCGGACCCCCGTTGAGCCAAAGCACCACAGGGCTGTTCTTTGGATCTTTCTGGGACTCCACAAACCTGGGATGGGGGTCAGGGCAGGGCTGGTGCAGATGGAGGGGGCCCCCTCCGGCCCTCCCCTCCTCCAGGCGCCCTCAGGGGGGCCTCATCGCCCTGGTGGGCAGTGCATGTGCCGCCTCCCACCCCGCCCGGGGCCCAGCGCCACAGACCAGTAGTGGAAGTGCTTGGAATCCGAGGCTCTGAGGTAGCCAGAGTACTGGCGGAAAGACGGCTGTTTGGCTAGCCCGGGGAGGCACTGGATCTCGTCCTGGTCAGGGGCCGCCCAACCTCGGGCCGCCCAGGACGCGACCAGTAGCACGAACAGCGGCGACAGCGCGGCTTGGGCCATCTGCGAAGGAAGCAGCGACCGCTTGCGGTTTACTAGCTCTCTCGCTCCCCGGCGCTTGGGTGCAGCGGTCCCTGGGGAGGAGCTGGGCGCATCCTCCAAGGAACCCCCAGCCCCGGAGCCCACTTCCACCCGCGGGGCCGCGGCCGTCGCCCAACGACTCCGATCTCCGAGATCCCTTCCCGCTCGGGAATTTCCTCACCTCCGCTCCCTAGCGTCCTTGCTCTACTGGAGGCGCCGCGAGACTGAAATCATGTGTACTCCGAGTCACGTGACCTCCGGCGTCACGTGACAGCCCCTCAGTTCCTCCCTGGGGACCTGGGCGGGGGGGTGGGGTGGGCGAGAGAGCGGTCTATTGCCGGGTCAAAGTCCGCGCCGGGCCCCTGATCAGATGATCTGAGTGTGGACCGTCAGGTTCGTCAGCCCTCTGGGGACCTGGTCCTGGACAAGATCCCTGAGCAAGCGGCGCTAGGACCCCCGGGCAGTCTGGGAGATGGGATGGGCGGGGGGAGGAATACCTTACATGGTTCCCCCGGGGTCGTCAACTGAGCCCGCAGCCCAAAATAGCCCCCGCCGCCTGCTGGCCTGCGTCTGGGCCGGGCGATGGCTGCTGCCTCCCACCCCGTGGAGTTGGGTTCTCCCTGGGGACCCACTCACCCGGAGCCCCCTCCCACCCGTTTCCACCGTGTGCACGGAGCCAACATTCGCGTGGACCCCTCGGGGACGCGGGCCACACGCATAGAGAGCTTTGCCCACGGTGTGTGCTTCAGTCGCGAGCCGCTGGCCCCCGGCCAGGTATTCCTGGTGGAGATCGAGGAGAAAGAGCTGGGTTGGTGCGGGCATCTGCGCCTCGGCCTGACTGCGCTGGACCCCGCTAGTCTGGCTTTTGTGCCGGAGTTTTCGCTACCCGACCTGGTCAGCCTGGGCCACTCCTGGGTCTTCGCCATCACTCGCCACCACAACCGCGTGCCCCGGGAGGGCCAATCGGAGGCAGAGGCAGCGGCCCCCAGCCGACCCCCAGGCCTCCTGGTGGAACCATATCTGTGCATTGAGCAGTTCAGAATTCCCCGGGACCGCCTGGTGGGCCGAAGCCGGCCAGGCCTCTATAGCCACCTCTTGGACCAGCTCTATGAACTGAATGTATTGCCTCCTACAGCCCGCCGCAGCCGCCTGGGCGTTCTCTTCTGCCCGCACCCAAATGGTACCGCAGACATGCACATCATCATCAACGGCGAGGACATGGGCCCCAGCGCCAGGGGCCTGCCAGCTGCCCAGCCTCTATATGCGGTGGTCGACGTGTTTGCCTCCACCAAGAGCGTGCGCCTGGTCCAGCTCGAATATGGCTGTAGGTATCCCACCCTCTGGACAGTGACCTTCCTGGCGAATGAGAAAACAGGAACTTTTTTCTTTTGTACTGGGGCCTTGGCCCTGAGTTACACCATCCTCAGCCCTTTCTTGAATTTAAGATTCTCTGGGATTACAGGTGTAGCACTACACTGGGCTGAGGACAAGAACTTGTTAGGACTCCCTAGTCAGCTGGCTAGGATTTGGTCTGTCCAGCCTGGTTTAGAAGGAGAATCTGGCTTCAAATTGCACCCCAGCTTAGGATTTTGCACCAGATGAGTATACTCGTCTCAGCTAATTAAGATGCTCTGCAGGTCCCTTTTAGTTTTGACAGTGTTTTCAATATTAACGTAGGGTAAGGACTCTAAACCGATTTTTAGACGTTGGGCCTCAAGAATTGTGTTCTTTTACCAGAAAAATGCTCGTCAATTTGGATTAATTTAGAGACACTACAGACCCCACACTGAGAACTTTTAAATTCTGAGGTCTGGTTTATTACAGTTCTGAAGGGCCGGGGATGTAGCTCAGTGGTGCTGCACCTGCCTGGCAAGCACAAGGTCCTGAGTTCCATCCCTGGTACCAAAAAAAAAAAAAAATTTACAGTTCTGTTAAGCTTTATTTATACCTCTGATCACTTTTTTTTTTGGTACCGGGAATTGAACTCAAACCTTGAGCTTGCCAGGCAGGCTCAGTGCCACTGAGCTACATGCCCAGCCCTCTGATCACATTTTTTTTTTCAGTACCGGGGATCAAACTCGGGTCCTTGCGCTTGCGCAGCAGGCGGTGAAACCACTGAGCTAAATCCCCGGCCCTGATCACATTTTTTGAACTCAGTGAACTAGAACCTGCTCTGTGCCAGGTGCCAGGCCTGGGCTGGGGGTTATGGATGCATAGACAAATCCAAACTTCCTGCCTCCATAAGTTGCTAAGCGAAGAGGAAAGGAATTGTGCTGCATTATAATAGAAACAGGGCTGCAGACTGCAAAAGTTGCCTTATCCCAGGCCTATGAGCTGCCCTGTGAAGTAGGCTGACCTTGAGAGCAAAAAGGACTTGCCCAGTTGATGGCAAAGTGGGGACCAAAACCTAGATATTCTGGGTCTCGGGCTGAGACCCACCCTCCAGGTAGGTTTGCCTTTGACATCCTTTCCACAGTGCCGTCCCTGCAAACTCTGTGCCGCCTAGTGATCCAGAGGAGTGTGGTGCACCGGCTGGCTATTGATGGGCTCCACCTGCCCAGAGGACTTAAGGATTTCTGCAAGTATGAATGAAGGCCTGTAGCGACGCAGAGCAGGGGGAGTGCATCCTGCTACCCAAGCTGAGGCTGGTCTGAAACTGGCCACATTGCTGCCAACCAGGGCCAGAAATAAACACAGCTGAAGGTGACATTCTTTTGGTCATTGGGTCGTCCCCTTGCCCCTGCAGTTTGTGAGAGGCAATTCTAGAATCACTGCAGGTCAGCAGATCATAGTAAAGACAGCATTTTAACCTTTTAGTGGTTTTTTTTTTTTTTGGTACTGGGAATTGAACTCGGGTCCTTGCACTTGCGCAGCAGGCGGTGAAATCACTAAGGTAAATCCCCGGCCCCAAGGCAGCATTTTAGACACCACCTAAACTGGAGGTTCTTAGCCTGGCCCCTGAAAAGAGTTATCTGAGGTACTTAACGCTGATGCCCCCAGGCTCTATCTAGAAATTCTCCTTCAATTTGTCAGGGGATTAGGACTAGACATTCCTTGTTTTTGTTTTTTGTTTTTTTTGTGAGACAGGGTCTCACTATGTAGTTCAGGCTGACCTTGAACTGTGTAGCCCAGGCTGGCCTCAAACTCAAAGTGATCCTCCTGCCTCAGCCTCCCGAGTGCCAGGATCACTGATGTACACTACCACACCCAGCCCCTCTTGTTGATTCTAATGTACTGCCAGGGTTGAGACAAATTTCCTTAGAACAGAGGCTTCAAGTTTGACACACAGTATAATCACTTGAGAGGCTTAAAAAAATACTCACTTGGGCCTGACTCTGGGATTCTGATTTGTCTCTGAGTTTGATGTCAGCCTGGGCTACATAGTGAGTTCAAGGCCAGCCTGAACTACATACCGTGACCTTGACCCTGTCTAAAAAAAACCCCACAAAACAGGGGCAGAGGTTTAGCTCAGTAGTTCTGCCACCTGCCTCAAAAGTGCAAGGTCTTGAGTTCGATCCCTGGTACCAAAACAAAACAAAACACAGAGACGAATTTCTCAAAGTTCCCAGAGATTCAAATGTATATGCTGAGGACTGGTTCCTTAGACCAACTATTTCATTTTGCAGAGGAAACTGAGGCCCAGAGATGAGGATGTATTTGTCCTCTTGCTTCAGCCTCCTGAGTCCTGGGATCACAGGTGTGCACCACCATGCCTGGCCTTAGACTCCTTTATTTCTATCTCCGATCATTTGCTTCCATACAGATGATCACATCTCATCCTCACAACTGGTGAGGGAGGGGGCAGTCATCACTCCTATTTTACGGGTGAGGATGCTGAGAAACAAAACTGTCCTAGGGACTTGACTAAGGTAAGGGTAAGAATCTAGAATACTGGTCCTGGTCCAGTGTGCTTTTAATACCATCTCATTGTCATGTACAGGTTCTAGAATGAATAGGTCAATGGTATGAGGTAGACTGCAGGTGTAAAGGGAAGGGACTATGAGGTGACATTCTAGAAGGGTGGAGAGGGTAGGATAGGAGGCATATAACTATTCCCTCATAAGCAGGGGCTTTGGGGCAGACGTGTCTTACTTCCCGTCCCCACAAACTCATCCGGGTCTTCTGCCTTCTGGCCAAGGTGAGAGGGACTCCTGGAACCATAGCGGCCATTGCACCTCTTATGAAGGTGCTTCCTGGCTCTGGGGAGGTGGAGTTTCTGCTGGGCATTTTGGGGCTGGCTTGGGAGTCAAGAAAAGACATTCCTGGGCTGGGGATTTAGCTCAGTGACACCGCACTTGCCTGGCAAGTGAAAGGTCCTGAGTTTGATCCCTGGTACTGAAGGAAAAAAAAAAAAAAAGACATTCCAAAAGTCCCTACTAATTACTCATGTGCTGACTTATTCATTCAGTACTCCTCTAATCACCTGCATAGTGTCAGGGACTAGGGGTATGGGTATGAGTGACAGTTCCCAAACTCTACAGTCCTTCTTGGGCTGGTCTTAATTGCTCCTATTCCTAAGCCCTGCCCCTCAGGGCCTCTTCCTTAGAGAGGCCAAAAATAACATTCCTTCTCATTCCTGTCTCTGCAGGTGGGGCTGCTTCTCCTGGTTCCTCCCTTGGCCTCTATAGTCCTGCAGAGCCAGTGCTGGTGGCCTCTGGTGGAGCAGGCCCTCTGAGCCAGAAAGCTGAGCAGGTGGTACCTGGTGCCCAGGCAGTGCCTGAAGCCAGACAGTGCCCTGGGGGTGCTAGCTGGGAGACACTGCCGAGGAAGGAGCACAGCCGATACTGCCACACACTCTGCTTCATGAGGCAGCTGGAGAGCTTGGGCTGGGAGGATGGCTGCTCCAGAAACAGAGCTCCCCACCCGGTTAGCCCCAGCAGGCCCGGGCCCCTGCTGCAGTGTGGGCTGTCACCAGGGGTTCGGCCCAGGCCCTCTGAGGCAGGAGGGAAGGAGGCCGGCTCCCAGTCTGACATCTGCATCCTGACCCTGGCCATGATGATCGCTGGCATCCCCACCGTGCCTGTCCCAGGCTTGCGGGAAGAAGACTTGATCCGGGCAGCTCAAGCTTTCATGTTGGCCCATCCGGAGCCAGAAAGAGCTGTGGCGGGGCCGCAGTGGGTGCAGGCACAGGCCCACACGGGCTCTGGGGAGATTCCCTTAGTGAGACCCAGGAGGGGCCAGCCTCCTGGCTCCTGCTTGTAGTAGCTGGATGAAATAGCACCAGACACACAGGGTGGCTTCTCTGTATGGTTTCTGGGTAGACAGGGTTGGCGGGACCCTATGGGAGAAATGGGAACTGGGTGGGTAGTGAAGGAAAATTCCAGTCCATTAGGGCTCAGACCCCATAGTTTCTCTTGGTACCACTAATTCTGATCAGATAGATTAATTAAAAGTACTTAGGTAGGGGGCCATACTTGGAGAGTGAAGACTTCTGTGCTGAAGACTTGACCAAAATTTCTTATATACCCATGTACAGTGGTGTACAGCTACTTGGGAGGCTGAGGCAGCAGGATCACAAATTTGAGCTCAGCCTTTGCAATTTAGTGAGAAAAGGCTGGGGATGCACCTCAGTGTGAAGGCCCTGGATTCAATCCCCAGTATTTAAATAAATAAAAATAAAAATGGCTCCTGATACCACAAAAAACAAAAACGGCTAGAGACAAAGTCCAGTTCAATCCCCAGTACCAGGAAAAACAAGTCACAGGAAATGTGAATTTTCCTCCTGCCTTAAATTTCTCAGCCTGTTGAAGGCAGGTGATAAGGCCATAAGAAAGGAAGCAAAATTACCCACTAGGCATTCAGACAAGTAAAAGACCACTCTTCTTTAATCTGATCAACTCTATGAGGATGCTCTTCTTTTGTATATTTGTTTTGTTTTTTGAGACAAGATCTCACTCTATAGTTCAGGCTGGCCTCCACCTGCTGCAAGCCTCCGCCCTCAGCCTCCCCAGTGCTGGGATTACAGACACATAGCAAGCACCATGCCCAGCAGAATACCCATTTATGAAGATAAACAACTGAAGGCTTAGAAAACTGACTTGCCAAGAGTCTCATTGCTAGTAAAGGTAGAACCAGGCCTCTACAATAAAGCAGGGAAAGAACCAGGATTAATAAATAGTATCACTGTAAATCTGTTCCCTCCATAATATACCTGAATTACCATCTACAAAACAAAAAGCTGGACAAGCGTTAAAATACAGAACATTCAACTTTATTGATCTCAGGAAGCACGGGGAAAACTGCTGAGCTAAGCTGAGTTACCTCCCGGAGCAGCCTCTTGGGCTATGGGAGGGCTCCCAGGCCAGCTCACTCACAGGGTACGGATCAGGTGAGTTTTCTTGTGACTGGGGCAGCTGGTACCAAGCCCCAGCCCTCAGCCTCACCACCTGATGTCTTATCTCTTATCTTAGACCAGGGGTCACCTGTATAAGAGCTTTTGAACCAGCAATTTTTACCTTATGAATAAGTTGTCAAAACCAAACCAAGACTATATAAGAGATGGTATGGAACTGTCAAATTTAAAATATTTACTCTTGGGCCCTTTACAGAAAACATTTGGTGATTCCTATCTTTTTTTTTTTTTGGTACCGGAGATCGAACTCGAGTCCTTAGCTTGCGAGGCAGGCGGTGGAACCACTGAGCTAAATCCCTGGCCCCTTCATACTTTTTTTTTTTTTTTGTACCAGGGATCGAACTCTGGTCCTTGCATTCACGAAGCAGGCGGTGAAACTACTGAGCTAAATCCCTAGCCCCGGTGATTCCTATCTTACAGAGCTAGACATATGCTAGGTAGCGGGCTATAGTAGAGTGGAAGACCCTTGTCCTTATTTGGGAAGGAAGTGCCATGAAAACAAAACTGTGTGTGTGTAGGAGAGGATATGAGGCATACATGTGTCAACATCACTGAGCATCAAGAGGAATCAGAGCTGCACCTGCTCGTAAGGGCCGATCCAGCTGTCGGCTAGTTCACGCAGGGTGCTGTACCGTCGCTCGAACTCCTCTTTGCTACAGTGCTGCAAGAGCTGACCCACCTCCTCGGCAAGGAGAGTCACTGCCAAGTACTTATCCAGAGTCTCGTTCCACTTGCTGCCCAGGATGCTGTCTAGACTTGTGGCACAGCCTGCCATCCACTGACCTGGCAACATGTCCGGGTGGAGCACTTGGCGTCGTGCACTAAGCATGGCCAGGATGTGGCGGCAGGGCAGATGGAAGGCCTGGTTAAAGTAGCAGCTGCAACTGGTAGGAGGCTGGGGCTGTACCTTATGGGTGTCCTCCAGGATCTGGATGTTTATCTTTTCTGAGCCAGATCCAATGAGATGCACAGATTTCTGGACCACAGCAAGCTCACCCAGGCAGAGTTGGGCTGCTGGCCCTGTGCAGATGGCATTGAGGGAATTCTGGATGCCGGCTTCTACCAACTGCTCTACTTTGGGGGTTTTGGTGCTGGCATCTGAGGTGGTGTGACTGTTCTTGGGACTGAGGCTCAGGTTGAAGCTTGCCTTGTCTCCATGGTTCTGTTGCATGTATCGGAATAGGGAGGCCATGCCTTGTTTCTCAGATGGGTTGGTGCCAAAAAACTGACTGAGAATTCGGGTGGTAACTTCAAGGCTCTGGAAGTAGCGGCTACTCTCCGCTCGGCTTCTCCAGCGGTGGGCCAGCCAGATGCGGTCATTGAGCAGCCAGTGAGAGTGCAGCTCAGACAGTCGGGCTGGGGGGATGCAGCTGCTTAGGAGTGTAAAAAACTTCCTCAGGTTGCCTGCTGTGGCTGAGCACATGGTGCTCTGTAAGGAGGTTAAAAGCACCCTCTCCACAGGCCGTTTAAGGGACAGTTGATAGAACTTGCCCTGTAGGAATTTACAAATGTGGAAGGCTGAGAGCAGGACCTCAGCTGTGGGAAACTCCATGGCTAATGTGGGCAGTGGGAGGAAGTGGGGATCCACCAGGATGGTACAGACTCTCTCCCATGCTGGGTTAAACTTCTTGAACAACTGGAACATCTGAGCCAGGCCTTCAGCATCTTCTTTGGCAGGAATGGCAAAGTAGACTGCCCGGGCAAGAGGACCCTCTAGCTGTACTCGAGGTCCATCCACCAGGAAGGTATATAACACCTTGCCCCTTGGGTTATAGGTACGGTGGATAAATAAGATCTCAGGGAAATGGGCAAAGAGATCTTGCATAAAGCAGTTCTGGTAGTTGAAGGTATCTAGTTGAGGAGTCTTGCTCACTTGGTGCAGCGGCACAGGTGGGCCTGAGTCTTTAATGAGATGCCCACTCAGCATTGTTAGGGCCATAAGGGAGACAGAAGATGTCTAAATGCCCAGATCAAAATACTTCCTCTGCAGAACTATTGTCCAGGCTTTGAGTCTCCCAAGCTCCATGGAAGTCAAGGATGGAGACTGTGCTGTGCTTTCTAGATCTTGTTTGAAAGATGTGCCTATGGAGAAGAACGAAGGTTTAAGGATAGTAGGGACTTGGCTCTTCAATTATTATTATTTTTTTTTGTACCGGGGATCGAACTCAGGTCCTTGCACTTGCGCAGCAGGCGGTGAAACCACTGAGCTAAATCCCCAGCCCTTCCATTATTAATCTAGACAACATTTACTGAACACTGTGTGTCAGCACTATTCTGTTGTAACAAATATGCAAGGATATGTCAGATAATGAGGGTTACAAAACTCATAAACCTGAGTAACAAGTCAGACAGTGAGTTAGGAAGGGGGGATACTTTAATTAAGGTGGTCAAGAAAGGTCTCTCCTGTGGTGGCGCGTGCCTGTAATCCCAGCACTTGGGAGAGTGAGGCAGGAGGATCACTGTGAATTTGAGGCCAGCCTGAACTGAAGAGCAAGACTCTCTCTCAAAAAATACAAAAAGGTCTCCCTTGAGGGAAGGAATATCACACTGTAGCACACTGTAGATGAACCCTAAATAACAGGAAGCCAGCTATAGAAAGATGTGATTCCAGCCAGGCGTGGAGGTGCACGCCCCAGCACCTGGGAGGCTGAGGCAGGACTGCCATGAGTTTGAGAGCTGCCTAACCGATACAGTGAGTTTGAGGGCAGCGTGAACTACATAGTGAGACCCTGTCTCAAAAGACAAAACACAATAACAGAAAGATGTGGTTCCTAGTATGCATGAGGCCTTAGGTTCAATCCCCAGTACTGCAAAATCAAAAATGGGCATAATGGCCCACACCTGTGAATCACAGGACTTTGGGAGGCTGAGGCAGAAAGGTCAGAAGTCTGAACCCAGCCTGGGCAATCAAGCAACTTTGTGATACCCTGTCTCAAAATGAAAAATTAAAAAGTGGCTGGGCTGAGATGGAGCTCAGTCCAAAAGCCCTGGGTTCAATGTCCAGTACCAAAAAAAAAAAAAAAAATTATGGGTCTGGTGGTGCACACCTGTAACCCCAGCACTCTGAAGGCTGAGGCAGGAGAACTGCCTGGAGTCTGACCTGGGCTACATAGTGAGTTCAAGGCTAGCCTGAACTACATATGTAGATCCTGTTTCAATAAATATATGTGAAGAAGGCCAGAGCTGCCTATCCCTTCATCTTTTAAATTAGCATTCTAAATATTTGTATAGCCTTTATATTTACAAAATTACTTTTTGGCATCCATTCTTTCCTTTGGTGCTGGTATATAAAATCAAGCAAGCAAACAAAACAAAGAACTATAATAAAAACTGAAACTGCCCCAAACTTGCTGTGGGATGTTGGGGAAATCAAGGACCCTCTTGGAGCCTCAATCCCTTCCACCATAAAATGAGGTTAACAAATGTGCGCTGTCTCTGCCTCTCCGTACATCCCTCCATTAACTGAAATGCTCTACTGAAATGTTTCCATCTGGTCCCCAAATGGGTTAAAGATGAAAAACTGAGGCTTAGAGAAGTTAAGGAATTTGCCCACTATTACTGTTAGTAGCTGGAAGCCAAGTCCTTGGCTCGAGATCCTAACGGTTTCCCACAGTCTAAAAGCCAGGAAGAGAGGGAATACGGCCTTTGACCCTCTCACCTTTTTTTTTTTGACCCTCTCACCTTTAACCCGGGTGAAAGATGGAAATGTCTGACGTTCGCGTTTGGAGTTCGGCAGAGTCAGAGCAGTTAACCTCCCACTCTGTCGGAGCTGTATAATGTCTGACAGCGGGGATCAGAGGCTCCCCCCACACACACCTTCAACTCCGGAAGAATCACTCAAACACAAACTGGCTTCGTCGCCATTTTTCTCTAGTTAACCCTGCCTCCTACTGACTGACCTGTAGGCTCACAAACCACGGGGCCAAGTTGCTGTGACTCAAACCAATGGCCTGAGGAGTTCATTTTCGGGGTTTGCAGCCACGGACCAGTAGTAGCCCCGCAATGCGAGGGCGGGACTGTTACCAGGAGCTCAGCTGGCGGTAACCAATGAAAAGCCTGAGGGAGGTCACTTGCATCTGAACGCCGCGACTGGAATTCTGGAGCCTCCCTTCAGGCTAGACGACTGGAAGGGCTGCTGTAAAAGCTCCCTCACAGACCGAAAATGAAAATAAATAGCAGTGTTTTACTGAAAAAAAAAAAAAAAGTTTTGGGTGGTGGTGTCAAACTGCAGTCCCAGGGTTTGAGAAAGGGTGCAAATGTAGTTGTAACGCATACTCTACTTTGTGGGGAAACCGAGACAACAGGCCTCAAATTCTCCCTTTTTCACAGAGATCACAACCGTTGCAACCCCTGAAGCTGAGGAAATCTAGATCCGAAAGAGAGAGCGAGAGCAGAACCTTGGAGGTGTCCAGCCCAGCCCAGCTCCCTCCAGAATTTACAGAACAGGTCCAGAGTGGCGCTGTGACTTAAATTCTCAGTGAATTAGTGCAAGAGTCAACTGCTTGGCATTTCTGTCCTTGGTTCCCCTGAAGATGACAGTCTTGGAAAGCTGGTGATTACCAGGCTTTAGACAATTAAGATTACTAACTAGCAACACCAAGTGTAGGTACTTATTACTGCAATGAAAATTTTATATAGACCTAGAGGGGAATTTAGCGATTAGAATTGACCAGCATGGGGCCAGGGATTTAGCTCAGTGGTTCCGGCGCCTGCCTTGCAAGCGCACAGTCCTGAGTTGGATCCCTGGTACCAAAAAAAGAAAAAAAAGAATAGACCAGCATGCTACATTTTACACATGAGGAAACTGGGATCAAAGAGATTAGGGACTTGCCCACAGTCCCCAGAGCAAGTTCTGGCAGTCAAGTCTAGAATTCAGGTTTCTTCCAGTCTATATCTACTTTTACTACTAGAGCATAAGGCAACTCAAAGTCAAAACTGAAGGCTTGGTTGGTAGGAAGAGGACATAATTGTGTAACTCCAACAATACGATACTCAATTTTTTTTTTTTTTGAGACAAGGTCTCGCTATGCAGTTCAGGCTGGCCTAGAACTCACTGTGTAGCCAAGGCTGGCCTTGAACTTGCAGTGATCTTCCTGCCTCAACCTCCCAAGGGCTGGCATTACAGGCGTGTGCCACCACGGCCAGCTCAGTTTTTAAAAAATTAATTTATCTAAGGGTTGAGGATGTAGCTCAATGGTTGAGCACTTGCCTAGTATGCACAAAACTCTGGATTCAATCTCCAGCAACACAAATAAATCCAAGCCAGACATGGTGGTCATGCCTGTAATCCCTGCTACTCAGGAGGGTGAGGCATGAGGATCACAAGTTCCAAGACAGCCTAGGCAACACTTAAGACCCTGTCTCAAAACAATATAAGTCCACCCCCTTCCTGACAGTAAATATAGTGAAGCCAGGAGTCCTGCTATGCAATTCTTCTTCTTCACTGATCAAGTGGAACACATTTCTCCCGCTTGACTTCATTTTTTAAAAAAAACTTTATTAAAAAAACCACTTTATTTAATATGAATAAAAATAGATACAAATGACAGATTCTTCATAAAGAGCAGCAACAATCAAGGGTCACCCTCCTTCCCTTTGTCCCTGAAAACAGGCCCTTTTATTAGGCCCATCCTGCCTCATCCTATCCGGGAGTACAGGTTCATCTCTGTAGGGAGAATAAAATCTGACCTCAGGGTCAGAGGAGAATGAGGGATAACCTTTCAGCATGGACATAGCTTTGGGCTTGAACAATGAATGAGGTGCCAAATGTAGGGCTAAAATGAGGCAGTTTGAAAGGACTATCACACAGTGGGGTCCCTCTCTTCCCTATTTTAACAATCCCCCTAGCCCTATCTAGGAAGATATTGAAATACTGACCCCTGGCATCACTTGCCCACTTTGAACTCTCAGAGTTCCAAGAAGACAGGTTTGTAGCCTAGTGTGGTGGGGCAAGTGTTTTAATCATGCACTGTGGCTTCAGCGGGAGGGAGTTCCTCCCCTTCCTCCAGTTTTTCCCAGAGGAAAGGAAGGCAGCCCACATCCTTGAAGTCTCCTGGCTGCTGACTGGACTCAGATGACTGACAGGGATCAGCCCAGATGTCCACAATCTTACGCAGGGTGGAATAGCGCTCCTCCAGCTCTGGCCCCTCAGTCTGCATTAGCAGGTTTGCTAGCTCCCTGCTTAGGTCCTGAATGATGTCATTCCGACCCTGATTTTCAGGCTGGTCTGTGTTTAGGATCATACCACGGTTCTGGAATTCCCCATTAGGCCCAAGGAGGTGCTGGTACTTCTTTTGCCACCTTCGGCACACCATGGCTTCATCTACTGGCTGGTGGCTATTGTACAGAAGGGCCAAAATATGCCGGCAAGGCAGGTGGTACCATTGTTGAAAAGAACAGCTGCAGCTACAGCCATCTTTGCTAACCTGGTGAGAGTCCTCTAGCAGCTGAACATCCACTGAGGAACCAGCCATCTCCACTAGGTGGGTGGAATTCTGTACCACTTCCCACTCACTGTGGCACAGCTTGTAGGCTAGTCCAGAGCCACTTTGGTGCAAGGTGTCTAGCATGCCACCCTGGAAGGGCTGCTGCAGCAACTGAACCTGCTGTGAATCTGGCTTTGTTTGTTCCAAAGGTGTCCTGGTGAGGATCCCTCTACAAACTCCAAAAGACTTTTTGGCCTTTGGTGGCATGCTTGGAGTCCGGGTTCTCTTTAACTTGGGACCAGCTGTGGGCAAGTTCTTCAAGGCTTTGGTGTTGAAGAAGTCTATGTAATCCACAAAGTGGAGGACGCAGTCCAGCAAGGATGGCTGTTTCCGAAAGAGGCATGACACCTTGCTGGTGACAATGTCCAGGCTGTCCATGTAGGTGTTACATGCATGCAAGCCCTTCCTGACATGCATGTACCACAGCAGCTCACAGGAGAACCAGTGGTCTTGCAGGAAGCTGAAGAGATCCTCATCTAGGAGGGCTTGGGACATCTGACAGAGATTTTTTAAGTTGGCATCACAAGTGACAAACACAGCTTCCCGAAGGGCTTCCTTCATGAGCCTTTTAAAGGACGGATCTGCTGAACTGCGATGCAACTTCTTCTCCAAGAGGCGGGTTGTGTGGTAGATGGAGAGGAGGATTCGGGCAGCAGGGAAGATCTCCTGCAGGATGGCCCGGTGAGGGAATGAAGGGTCCACAAAGACCACCTTGACCTTAGGCCAATCAGAGTTGAACTCTGTAAAGATGCTCAGCATCTTGGCCACAGAAGTGGTCGTCTCGGCCTTGAGCACAGAAAAGTGGACCACCCGACTCTCTCTTTCCTTGTTCTCCACCAAGAAAGCATAGAGGATATGGCCCTGGGTGTTCTCCACCCGGTGCAGCAAGAGGTTCTCTGGGAAGCGGATGAACAGGTCACTCATCTTACTGCTCTGGAAACTGAGCCGGTCCAGGTCTTGGTTGGTGCCCACACTGAAGGAGGCCAGGGAACCCTCATCTACTTTAAGAAAGTTCTTCATCACTTTTGCTATTTTGGCCAGGTCAGAAGGAGTGATGCTTTCCTGCTCTGGCTTTGAGGGCACTTGTACCTTATCTAGGCAAAATGATGGTTCTACTGGGGACTTCTCAGCTATGTCAGCGTCTCTCTTGATTGAGGGCTGCGTAAGCTGGAGTTTCTGCAGGCACATTGTCTTCTGAGATTTGCCAGTGGCGTCTCCTCCAGGGCCAGCAGTTTTGGAATCAACATGGACATGCTGGGTGTTTAGTTCACTGATAAACAGTCTATCTAGTCTCTCGTTGTACCGAAGGAGCAAGTATGCTGGGCACATGTCCGCCTCCTGTGTTCTCTTCCTGTGTGACTGGGTCCGAATACAGACAAATTTCACCTGCACATATCTAGGGAAGGTAGAGGTGACAATGAGAAAGGTGCTGACCGTCCCCTCACTCTTAAAAGGTAAGGCCCTGTCGGGATTCATATTGTCTGATGCGTAACAGAGTACAGAATGTAAGGAAGATTTACATGAACTTTCCAGTCCCAAAAGACTCAGCTCTTTCTTCACGACTCTAACTACAACTCCCTTCAGTCTCCTCCGCGGCAGTTCTAAACTCCAATTCCTTTAATTTGAGACAGGATGCAAGGGAAAATAGACAAGTAGCAGCAGCTGACTGCCCAGCTAGTTTCTCCCTATTTAAAATGTCCCCTTCATTCCTGTCTTTGGAGCTAATGTTTTCTCCTCCTCCAGACAGCTTGGTTAAGAGTGAGATTCTAAGGATACCGGACTAGACCACGGCTATCACTTGAGCTCTTTGGAGTCCTCTGGAGATAGGATATGACTGGGCTTTTTCTCAAACAGGGAAGATTTCTGCTCGTCTCTCATTGAAAGAAAAATGACCATATCCTAAGTTTTTTTGTTTTGTTTTTTGGTGATGGCGACAGAACCCAAGGCCTCACACATGCTAAAGTATGAACTCTGCCGCTCAGCTACACCTTCAGCACTCTGAAAAAGTCTGATAATCACTGGGCTAAATGATCCTTAGGGTACTTTCTAGCTTTGCCATTCCAGGCTGAAAATGACAATTCAAAGGAAAGTGGTAATTACACTAAATAATCCATGCTTCAGGGCCCAACCAGGTCCCATTTCTGCAAAGCCTTTGTGGATGCTCCTAAGCCACAGTAATTGCTCCTGGTTTTTTGTTTAATTTTTGAGACAAGGTCTTGCTATATAGTGCAGGTGGGGCCTTGAACTCACTATGTAGCTCAGGCTGGCCTTGAACTTGCAGCGATCCTCCTGCCTCAGCCTCCCAAGTGTTGGGATTACAGGTGTGTGCCACCACATCTGGCCTTGTTCCTGTTTCTGAATTTATAGCATTTATCCAAAAGGCAAACAGATTCTCTGGGTGGCAATATACCAAGTGTGTTTGTGTAAGAAGAACACTTGTGGGGCCAAGGATTTAGCTTAGTGGCACTGTGCCTGCCTTGCAAGCCCAAGGTCCTGAGTGTGATCCCTGGTACAAAAGAAAAACCCAAACAACAACATTTGTGGCTCCCTGGATGTGAATCCCTACTCTGCCTCTCAGAAGCCATTTAACCTTGTGCAAGTCACTTTACCTCTTTGGATGCAATATGCTCATTGTAAAGTGAGATG